CATTCCATTTCCCCTGGAATATTCTGAGGAACATTAGTACTTGTTTTTTAAAGGTCTGGTAGAATTCAGCTAACAATTCATCTGATCCTGGACTTTTCTTCTTCTTCTTTTTTAAATATTTATTTTTTAGTTGTAGTTGGACACAATATCTTTATTTTATTTTTATATGGTGCTGAGGATCGAACCCAGAGCCTCGAATGTGCTAGGCAAGCACTCTACTGATGAGCCACAATCCCAGCCCTGGACTTTTCTTTGTTGGAAGAATATCTGTAATCAACCATTGTTTGTTTGTTTGTTTGTTAAGGGATTGAACACAGGGGTGCTTTAGCCACTGAGCGACATCTCCAGCCCCCAAATCATTGTTTGAGGCTTGTATCTTATAATACAAAATTCTCTCCTATAAGACAATTGTTCAGTCAACAAAAATTGTTGCACTTAATATGAACATCATACATTCAGAAATCAAAGAGGGAAATAATGTTTTCTAGTGTAGATGATGAAATACTTATCTGTTGAATCAGGGACTTTGGACTGAAAAGAACAGCTATCTGGGCTGAAAGCAGCACTATGAAATTGAAATGAGGTTAAGTGTATAATGTGGTATGCTGAAGTTCAGAGTGACCAGTTGCATAAGCATGAAATAGGGAAACAACAGAAGTTGAAAGTTGTGTAAAAGCCTAGCCTGAGCCGTAATTATGACAATGACGAGTTCTTAGACTGTGTTACTAACATCCACTCACTGGTTACTCTGAGCCATGTGCTGTTCTAAGCATTTTAAGGCTATTGGCTCATTTAATTCTCACAAATAGCCTGTTAGGTAAGTCTAATATTATTTCCATTTCAAGTGAGGAAACTGAGGCCCAGAGCAGATAAAAAATAACCCAAGGTAAAGTAGTCAGTAAGTGGTGGAGCTTGGTTTTGAAACTTATGCTAATCCTGCTCTCCTCTGGACTGGTCAGTCCATTTCTGGAGTCTTCATGTGTGAGGACATCACAGACCAAAGGTCTCCTGAGACCAGGTTGTGGCTGGGGTGGAAACCCACTCTGATGGTTGGACAAACTGGGGTCCTTTAGAAGAGTTTAAGAAATATGCTTTACAAGTATTTAAAGACTATTATGTGAAAGAGAAATGAGAATTATATTTTGTAGCCACAAGGAAATTACGGGTTTAGGCTGACAAACATTTACCAAATGCCTATATCTGCAAGAACCCTGGGAATTCAGAGATAAGAAGAAACAAAACAAAAACCACTTCTTGGAGAAGTTTCCAGTCTAGAAGTGGTGAGAGGCAAAGTTGATTCTCCAAAAGACCTTCTGAAGACCCTAGCAGCTGGATGCCAACTCTTAAATATATATAAAATTAAATTTTATAATTGAAATTTGGAGACATTTTCTGTTGATTAATATGTTGCATTACATAGATATCAAGAAAATAACTTGTCGTTTGCATTACACTTGATGTTATAGTTTGGATCTAAAGACTCATGTTGACAGCTTGGTCCCTAATGCAGCAATGTTCAGAGGTGAGGCTCTTGGGAAGTGATTGGATCATGAAGACTGTGACCTCTCAATGGATTAATCCATTGATATGTTCATAGCTGATGACATTATTGGGAGGTGGTGATAATATAGGAAGTGGGACCTTGTTGGAAGAAGTAGGTCACTGGGGGCACACTTGAAAGGATGTATCTTATCTCTGGTCCTTCCCTTGTTCTCTCTCCTCTGCTTTTGGGCTACCATGAGGTAAACAGTTCTGTTCTGCCACATGCTCCCTCAAATGACCTTCTGCCTTACCATGGGCTCATAACATGGGGCCAAGCAACCATGGATGGAAACTTCTGAAACAGTGAGCCAAAATAAACCTTTCCTCCTTTATTTTCTCAGGTATTTTGTCACAGAGTGGAAAACTAACTAGCAGACTTAACCAAGTCAGCAAGATAAATTTTATTACTTTCAAAATATTAACAGAAAATAGACAAATCATCCATTCTGAAAGCAAGGGAAGAGAATATCTTTGTTTAAATGAGTATTTTAAAAATATATAAGCATTATATGCAGTACATAATATTTTTATGTATTATGTATCAATAATATATAAATCTTACTGGAAATTCTGATTATTTTGATAAGATAAATGGACACAAAAGGATTATCCAGTTGCTTTTTTAAAATTGTGAAATAATACATTTTTTTTGTAGAATATAGTTCAACTCTGACAATAACATTTGAACTCCAGGATCACACAAACTGGATCAAGATTTAGAAACAAATGATTATTTTAGTGAAGAGAGTGGAATGTTTGACCAATGCCCTGAAATTTAAAAGTATCATTGAATGATTCCTTTGAAGTCATCCACTTATAAGCAAAGGAAATAGTGCATTTCTAAGGTTCATTGGAGAATCACAGGGATGCACTGGATTAAATTATTTTGATGTTTTGTGGTTACATATGGATCTTCCTATTTGTGTCATTCTCCTCTGTTAGGAATATTTTCACTGTTGTCTAGACAAACTACAAATGTGTGAGATAGATTTGTTGATTTCAGATGTCAAATTTGTTTCTTATAGTTCCATACAAGAAAAAAAGCAGATTAATGTTACATTGTAAATTCAATTAATCGAATTCAAAACAAAGATACTTCCCAAGTACAATAGGATTTCCAACTATTATGGGGCAAAAGAGTACCCATATAAGCCATTCTGTTTTTCATGTTCAGAACAGTATTCAATAAACCATATGAGATATTCAACATTTTATATAAAATCAGCTTTGTGTTAGATGGTTTTGCCTAACTGTAGGCTAATCTAAGTGTACTAAGCAGTTAGGCTAGGCTAAGCTATGATGTTTGGTAGGTTAGGTGTACGAAGTACATTTTGACTGATGATATTTTTGACTTAATGATGGGTTTATCAGTATATAATTCCATTGTAAAGTTGAGTAGCATCTCTAATAGGATATTTTCCATTTTATTCATTCTAGAATATCAGACCATATCATCATAGGAAAATCTGTTAATAAAGTTGGTTAGGTATACAACTGTTACTATGTAGACTCATATTATTTTCTATTTCATGCAAGTTTATCCACAATGTTATCCTGCTATTCTTTGCCAAGTGTTTTTTTCCCATTATGAAGATTCTGCTTTCATAAGCTTATGACCAGCTTGGTGATGAGTGTTGGTGAAACATGAGCAGCAGATATTCCCCTCAGGTTACTTTCCTTCTGCAATGACTAGAGGTATGAATCTGGATGACCTTCCAGATTTCTTCTTATTGATTTTCCTTCACACAAGATAAATCACTATGATAAACTGCTTCAATGAATAACTTATCTACGTAGGGAAAGCAGAAAGTCCAAGCAATAAATCCAATTTGATTGAGAACTATGAAGATGTCAACAGTAAATAATAATGCACTCTTTGCACTCTTTCCCAGTACACAAAGACTGTTTTTTTTTTTTTTGTTGTTGTTGTTGTTTTTCTTGAATGATATTGGGGATTGAATCCTGGGCCTCCCATGTCCTGTATCACCCCACCCCCAGCCCTTAGCCAAGATTTATTTTTAACAATGGCTTGCTGCAAAATAATTTTCTGGGATGCAGGAAATAACTGGCCCTAATTCTGGATTGTTTTCAATAGCAGATATAATGAAGAATGATCAATTGCTAGATGTCAGAGCCAAAAATTAAACTGCATTCAAAAACCTAGAATAGGGGCTGAGGTGTAGATCAGTGGTACAGCATTTGCCTAGAATGCATGAGGCCCTTTGTTGTTTGATCCCCAGCAATGGGGTGGGGGGAGAAAGGCCACAATATTTGCTCTGCATTCTAATTTATAGAAATAGAACTTTATTGACTAAAAAACAGGATATGTAAAATAAAGAGGAAGCTCAGTCAAGCCATCCATTCCATATAGTTAATATTTGGAATGAAAAACTTCCACATATTTTTGGCTTTTCAAATACAATATTTCATACCAAGTATTAACTTATGATGAGGTGTCCCTTTTTACTTCCATGCTACAGGCTTTAAGATATCTTAAGTGAAACACAAATGTGTATGCACACATACACATATACACAACATAAATGTCAATACATATCTAAAGCATTTTCCTGAGCAGGTGCAAAGATCCAATTGAAGTTTTTTTTATAAGGCTTAGCCAACTTGATGTAAAACAAAAGTTTCCCAAATAGAGAATTTTTTTTTTTTTCATGCAACAAACGTGGTTGGAGAATAGAAATCTGACTCTTGGAGTTAAATTGACTCTGAACTCCCTAAAATTCTAAGAGTTTATCATTCTGTGAGTTAATTCCTCAAGTTATTCTCCCCATAAATGAGCTGCTTGGAAGAAGGAGAATGGTTTGGGAAGATGGGTTTATTCTTTCAGGCCACTAGTAGTCTACAAAAGTACCCTGTTAAAGAGTGATCACAAATGCGTACCTATTAGTTTAGCAGGTAACTGAAAGATGATAGGTGTTTTTAAAAACCTCATGCACTGATGAGCCTCACAGTTACGTCCATCACTGAAAGGACAGTTGTTTCATATTTTGACCATTTTGAATGAAATCTTGGCTCCTATGTCTTGAGAAGCACTTCTTATTCATTTATTTATTATTTATTTATTGGTATCAGAGATTGAACTCAGGGGCACTAAAACACTGAGCTACATCTCCAGCCCATCCCCATATTTTATTTGGAGACAGCATCTCACTGAGTTGCTTAGGCCCTTGCTAAGTTGCTGAGGCTGGCTTTGAACTCTCAATCCTGCCTCAGCCTCTCGAGCCACTGGGATTACAGGCATGCGCCACCATGCCTAGCAATGGGAAACACTTCTAGTGCTTATAAAAGACACAATCTTCCTCATCCTGTACTTCTATCTCCAAATACGTGAATTTTCTTTGGGTCATGACTCCCCAGCTTCCTCCTCATTCATTCCTGTCCTCTACTAGAGAACTTAAAACATTGAAGAAAAGCAGAGTGAAAGAAAAGATGGAGGCTAATCAGAGAAGACTCAATTCCTTTACTCAGCTGTAAGCCAGGCAGGGTGCAATATCATCTGCTGCTGTTATTGTGTGTTTGTTTGGTATGTGAGGGCTCTCAACATGTTCTTAGCAGAAAAATATGTCATGCTCAATTCAGGTGAGAGCCTTCCACAGAAAGCATTTCAAAAGAGCAAGAGAATCAAAAGAAGTATATTATTTTAAAGTACTCTTGAAATTTTAAATGTGTATAAATTCAGAGGTTTAGAAAACTCAAAAGCCATAGACAGTTTAGGAAGCCGAAGGCTGTGAATCTCCCTTTTCACTTAATCCATGCCTTATTTTGCATTCCTCGCAGGTAAGCAGGCAATGCCTAGAAGAGAAGCAAAAACAGGTAGTGGTTTGTATTTTGACAATAGAAGCTCTAGTCTTAACACAATGTTGTTTAGAGAAGTCTTCTGTTCTAAAGTTCACTAGCCCAATTTCTTCAGGAATAATATTTGTTCTTAGTTTAAGATTCCCCAAATTTCATCCAAATAAAGCCAAGAACAAACTTTATGTTGAAACAGATGGTTGTTTTTGTGGTTAGAGTCACACAAAGGTTGAACATCTTGACTCTTTGAACTTGAGTAATTTCTAACAATAACATTAAAAAATCATAAATAAGCCAGGCACAGTGGCACATATCTATCGCTCCAGCACTGAGGATGCTCAGGTGGGAGAAACACTTGAGCCCAGGAGTTTGAGGCCAGCCTGGGCAATGCAGTGAGACCTCATCTAAAAGAAAAAAAAATCATAGAATACATAGTGCATTTATGAGGATTTAATATAATATAAGCCTATAGTGTTTAATATAATATAAACTTATGGAATTAGGTTTGAACACACATGAGCACACATAATTTTTTTAATTAAAAAATTGCAAAGACATTTCCAGAATTATAATTTTCCTGATTTGTAACAGTTTCCTTAGAATCTAACACAATACCAAGGAAAATGCACAGCTTTGTATTAGAAAAATACCCACACTTGAGGAATTGATGTCCTTGAGGCCCTTCCCAGTGTTAGTTTTGAAATCTTACAAATTCAATTCCATAAACATTTACTGAACACCTACTACCATGAGAAATTTGCAACAGGAAGACCATTTAAGCAGAACAGGATGAGGTGAATTCTATATAATAGAAATATCAACCTTGCTTGAGTGGGAAGGGTCATTCAGAAGGCAGTAACACCATAAGCTGCTATTTCACGTCCCCAGAGAGATGGATGATGACCTCCATCCTCCTCCCTTTATCACTTATTTTACCCCATTGCTTTGAGAATTAGGTAGAAATCCTTAGTGTGGCATAAAATCCTTCAGGGAGTGACCCTTACTTGCTTTGCCCTCCAGATGTCTTCTATCATTTCCCAATAGCTCTCTATGCTTTAGCCATAGGATGTATCCATGGGTTTATTAAAGAATTAATCAATCAGGTCTCCTTCTCTGAGCAGGCCATTCCTGGCCTAGCATTTCCTTTTTCAAACTTGCTATAACTCCCACTGGTCTTTGAAGATTCAAGTCAAGCATCATCATCTCCTTTAAGAAGGCCCCTTCCTTAAGCTTCTAGACCTCAACTTAGCTAGGGGCTCTTCCCTCTTTCCCCCTCACTGGAAATCAAGTAGCTTTGTGAATCGTTGCAATATCATCTGCTGCTGTTATTGTGTGTTTGTTTGGTATGTGAGGGCCCTTCACAAGGGCTTAGCAATGGTTACCAGCCACTAATGTGAGCCCAGAGTGCAGCTGCTGTGGCTACAAGAGGGCAGGCAAAACAGAGCTATAGAACAAAGAGCTCTAAGCAACCCTGGAGACCCTTTACTTCAACCGCCTTCTTCTAAAATGCAGAACAATGGAGACTGTCTGGAAAACACAGATTTCAATCTTGGTTTATAATTATTATGGAACCTGAAGTTGGATAATAGCAAAATAACTTCCTGAAATTAAAGAGGAAGAGGGAACAGTTAAGAAAACTTTCTCCTTTGCATGTATTGATTTTATAAAACTTTCCCTAAAGAGACCAGAATCTTGTGGTCAATTGCTCTTCAGAAAGCTGACCCTAAAACTCAGCTTTGTAAAGATGGACTGATGTGGGAGTTGCCTGTAAACATAGAATTAATGACTCTCAGGCAACATTGCTGCTAAAATGGAATATGTAAGGGTTTGAAAACAAATGGGCTGAGCCTTACCTATGGCTAACTGAAAAACAGGATATGGCTAACTAGGTCACCTCAGAAAGTCTCAAAGTCTCTGCATCTCCTTGCTGTATGTCTGTGCACCTCTCTGGGTTGCATGTGGCTCAACAGGAAGTGACAGTGTTTAAGGTACCAGTATAGGACTAGGGAAGGTGGCTCTCCAAAGTTTTGCAAATGGAAAAAGAACTTGGGTGCCCTGATTTCTAGTCCAATGTTGTTTTCACTATATCATGCAGCCTCTCAAATAGAATCTACTGAGATGGGTGAGGGGTCTTCAGAGAAATGTGTCTTTAACACTAGTCCCATAACACTATAAAAGAAATAGCACTTATGAGTCATGAATAACCATTTCTATTCCTTGCAATATCCCATGGAAACAATTCTGGTCATCATTTTATACAGATGAGGAAACTGAAGATTAGAGAGTTTAAGAAATGTATTCAAGGTCATATGGCTTAGGAAGTGGATGGAGTGGTTTTCAACCCCAAATCTCCAACAGCAGAGGTAGTCCTGTGAACTCCACTGTCCTGCTGTTTATATCCCCCAGAGAAAACTACAATATATATTACATGCTATTAACATGTTAAAGGCTCTCAGAAGCCTTCCATAAGGAAGACCGTTTAAATTTTACGTAACCTTGTGATGGTAGAAGCCATTTGTGCTCATCAAGATATTCTTTAGAGACTTGCACAATGCCTTGGACATAATAGGTACTCATTAGATATTGTTATAAAATTAAATAGGTAGCTAATTTAATAATTATCAAAGTTGAGTTGTAACAACTCAAAACTTGAAGGTTAAAGAGGTTTTTTAAATGAAGGAATTTAAAAAACGTTTAATGTTATAAATAGTCAGTGACCCTTCATTTAATTACTTATAATTATCTTCATTATAATCTCTTAGTCAAGCAGTTTACAAACCTGTTATGCTCTGGACCAAAACCAGCTCCACGCAGCTGATCTTCAAAAGAATGGAATTTACTCTGGCATACTCCTATGTATGAAGCCTTTCCAAGGCCAAATCCTAAGATGCCAGCAACTATAAAAGCAAGAAACATAGGTAACTGAAAGATTCAGAATCTCTTTAGTTAATTATCATCTTGAAATTTTTTTATTAAATCTAGTCTTTTTTTTTTTTTTAAGTGCTGATGTTGAACCCAGGGGTGCTTTACCACTGAGCTACATCCCAACCATTTTAATTTTTTATTTTGAGACAGGGTCTCACCAAGTTGCTTAGGGCTTCACTAAGATCCTCCTGTTTCAGTCTCCAAAATCACTGGGATAGGTATGTGCTACCACACCAAACATCAAGACTAGCCATTTTTATCTAAAAGTACTAAGGTAAATCAATGAAAAAAAACTCTGAGGGTGAAGCCCCTATCAAAGAGCAGGACTGTGAACCAGAGACTTTCTGATCTCTTCTTTGAACTGGAAGCAGAATGACCAGGACAGAACAAGTGAAGATGCTGTCTCAGAGATGGACAATGAGAGGGTGGCAGCTGTCAAACAGATGGCTTAGGCCACCAAGGAGAGAAGGTGGGGATCTGCACTGTGACTATTGGAAGCCTTTAAATCACAGGTAGGAAAGCTCCTTTACTTTCTTTAAGGTCTTGGAAGAGTTGGAAGCAACCTCTAGAAGTGATGTCATGAGGGAGGGAAACCTCCTATGAAGGAAGTTGTTGGGAGCAGTGATTTGAATCGTTGTCTCTGACCTACAGCAGGAGCTGTGCCTGCACTGGGAATTTCCCGTGCAGAGGTTCAGGTCAAGACTGCCCAGTTGCTATGGTGACACCCTGCTTAAAGGAGATTCTGTGCTAGGCACAGGACTATCAGTCTTGACCCTAAGTGCAGACATCAGCTGCCAGGGACAGAGAATTATGAAAGTAAATTGATAATTATATTTGTCATATAGTACTTTGACTTTCAATCCTGCATGCTTTCTCACAGAAAATCCTTTTGATGAGAAAACCCATATGATGAAGTTGCTGAGCTAGCTCTGGGTCATTCATTCTCCATCAGAGGGTGATGTCCCACCTAGCCCCAGCCTTTTCTCTAGGTCTTTGTCTTTTCTCAATCCCCCATCGCCCCTTGGTGATTTCTGAATTAATGGCTGTGCTGGTTGCAGCAAAAAATCTTGAACCCTCTGGCTGGGAATGAGATTCGAGATTGTACCTTCTTTGTACATAGAAGGTCTATGTGTATCAAGAAGAGGAAGAAGAAACCCCAAGTGTGTGGCAAATTAATTATTGGAAAATCCTCAGCTCATTACTCATTTTTAATGTCCATGACAGATAATCCTTTGAAAAGATTGGCCAGCCCAAAAGAAGAATATAAAAACCCTAAGGGACTTATCATTCAGATGCTCTACTGTTGATAATTTTGTTAAAGCTGGCCCTCCATATCCATGGGTCACACATCCTCAGTCAACCAACTACAGACAAAATATTTGAAAGTTTTGGTCAGTACTGAACAAGTACAAACTTCTTTCTTTCAGTATTCCCTAAGTCATATAGTATAACAACATTTGTACAGTATTTACATTGTTTTAGGTATTGTAAGTCATCTAGAGATGATTTAAAGAATACAGGAGAATATGCAGAGGTGGTATGAAAATATTATGCCATTTATATAAGGGAATTAAGCATTCATGGATTTTGGTATCCCGGAGGGGTCTTAGAACCCATCCCCATCAAATCTGGAGGAACAACTGTATATATCTTGTCAGTCCCTCTTAGTTCATGCTTTAAAGAGGATTATCTGGGGAGAAGTCCCTACTCACTTTAAAGAGGATTATCTGGGGAGAAGTCCCTATACACTTCCTGTATATCAGGAAGTGTTGAATAAAGTAAGAATGTAAAGCCATAGAAAATAGTGACTAATTTTTCAGAGTCAATGCAGGCAAGTTGGTTAAAATGGACATTCCTTTCCCTAGCTGTTAAAAATATCACCCTTTCTTCCAAAATGAATCTGCTTTTTTTACTTTAATGACTTACGTGCAAGTTTAGGCAATGATCCAAGTCTTGGGTTAGCTGCTAAGTAACCTAAGGATTAATATATAGATAATTAATATTTTATTTTGCAACCTACTTAAATTTGTAAGGAAAACTTCAAACTTTAAGATGCAAAATTTCTTAAATGTATACATAGTCTTAATCTAAAGAAAGAATTTTAAAATAATTATGATTCACTTCTTGACTGAGTTTAACTCTTGAATAGCCATTTTAGGCAAATAGCATATATTAGCTTTAACATATAGAAAAGGAATATGAAACAAAGACTAACTTAAACTGAGTTCAAAAAATGACTCACTATCCTGTTCTCTCTTAAAGTAACTCAATATAGGAAGTTTCAGTTTAGAGATTCACTCTGTATGTGTGTGTGTGTGTGTGTGTGTGTGTGTGTGTCCGTGCGCACACGCGTGCATGTGTTTATTTAAAGCTTTTTTTTCTTGCTTTGATTAGGGGCATTCTACCACTGAATTGCATCTCCAGTCCTTTTTTTTTAAAGAAGGTCTTGCTAATTTGCTCAGGCTGGGATTGAATTTGTAATTCTCCTGCCTTAGCTGCCCAAGTGCTGGGATTATAGGCATGTCTACTGTCACAATTTTTAAATGAAAATAGTAGGGGCTGGAGTTATGGCTCAGTGGTAGAGCGCTCGTCTAGCACATGTAAGGCTCTGCGTTCGATCCTCAGCACCACATATAAATATAAAATAAAGGTATGGTGTTCAATTACAACTAAAAAAA